TTGAGTGAAGCTGCTGGCAGCAGTCGGCTGTTGCCATATCCGCTCGTTTGCCGCTGTAGTCTAAGGCAATTAGCCCCAAGGAACGAGAGTAGCCATAAATTAGCCAGCATTTGTGGCAGTCGTCATTCTGGGCGACTCCTAAGCGGCAGCTGATGCAGCCAGGTCGATTGTCATATTTTGTTGTCCACTATGGTCGGCTTGTCCTTTGATGTCCGTTGGACAAGCGGCATTTGCTATCGGCTGATGTTCAGCTACAGTCTCGTACGTCGTGAACTGCGTTGACACGTACTTGCACAAATGGCGCCCGTCCGGGCTGCTGTTCCGAGGTACACTACCGCCACGCAGCAGCTGTCAGTCTCATTCGATATGTCTTCTTCGATGCGAGACAGTCGTGCCGATGGCGCTCTCAGAGTGAATGATGTCCCCTCTGATCACGGCGGCGGTCGTCTTGACAGGGGCCGCATACCGCCGACGATGAGCGGCGAAGACAGACGTCATGGTGACCCGAAACGGAAGTGACGCGATGCAGACTTAGCACAACTTATTGTGCGTGCCTTCCACCTCACTTCGATAGTCACCTGCTGCCATGCGTTGGAAGACGTAATCGTTTTTGACTCATACCTCGCCTCGGTACTTCGTAGTTACTTCATGTGGTGGACGTCTAATGTTCAACATTCAGAGATGCCATCATCGTTTTCGTTAGCGGTTTTCATCGGCAGTCGGTGACATGTTTTCAATTAGATGCAGGCATCACATTTTAAAGATATATGAATGGTGTGTATTTCGACACAAATCTCATAAAAGTCTCCTAGTTCTTCGTCACGAGAACCTTTGTAGGTCTTTAGAGAAGTGTTTTTGTAACTGTTGTTTAGAAATGCCCATCGGAGATGCGCTCTGCGTGATTCGCTACGTCGGGAAAATGGTCTGCAATTCAGGTGACAGAGTAAATCCTTTCAAAACCTTCGCGATGAAGAACTGTGGATCCCCCCCCCGCACAGACCATGCAAATAATATCTTAAGGGCTATCGACGAACGTCGGCAATCTTTAAACCGCAGTAGTGGTGAATAGCCGAGTTCCACTTGCACCACTTCAGCAAAAAGTGACTGCGACCAGAGTGGCATTCCTAGCCATATACAGGACCGTCCTACGACAGTTAAGAATATTGATTTGCGGCTTCAGTTTTCCAGTTAAGTGTGGCTTGGATTTTATATCCTTTATCGTTTTATTTTGGTCAGTCGTAGTCCGCTGTCCATTTGGAGTGCCAACCTTCATGAAGCATTGATGAGATTT